CATCACCTTCCTTCTCTTCCCACTTTTATAGGAGGCAAGTTAAATAATATGTGCCAAATCACTCCTTGGATTTGATACCTGTTAATTTAACTTGTCTCCTCCCTTGGGTGGTTGGGCTCCTGATAGCTTGGGTGCTATTGGGGTGTGGAAACAAACCATACCCTATCTACCCCTTCTGGATAGGTAGGGAATGGATTGGATCCAGGGCTGGAGGGTGCTTTTACCCTTTCTTCTTTTCCTTTCTTTCTTTCCCCCCTTTCCCCTTCTTCCTTCTTCTTGTTTCTCCCTCCTTCTTGGTCTTCCTCTTCTTCTCTCCCTTCTTCTGAGTCTGGAAACACACTAAGCTTCACTCATTTTAACCCTCTTTGTTTTGATGTTTGAAGGTTGGTGTGTCTTCCCTTTGGTGCTGGTTGGGTGGGTGGGGCCCCACTGGTTTTGTTGACTGGTGGGGTTGTGAGGAAACAAATCAACCTCTATTAACCCCTTCTGGGTAGGTAGAGGTTGATTTGGGTCCTGGGTTGTTGGTGTTCAACACCTCTCCTTTTCCTTGTACATCCCTCTTTCCCCTTCTTCTTTCTCTTGCTTCTCCCTCATCCTTTGCTTCTCTCTCTTTTCCTTTTCCTCCTTCTTCTGTCTCTGGGAACACACCTGGATGCACTCACTTATACCCCTCTTTTGGTTGAGTATTTGCAAACTGGTGTGCACCCCCTACCTTTATGGTTTCTGCTTGGATTCATCTTGGATGCTGTGTGGATGGCATGGATAATCTCTCTGGCTTTGTTTTGTGAATTCTCTCATCAGGGTAGAGCACCATCACCTTATGCCTGAGTACTCCATCCTAGCTCATTTGTGTGAGATAGGTTTTGACTTGGTATTATTTGGTGCAAATGGTCCATTGGTGCTTATAAACTCCTGATGGATTTGGTCCTGCTGTTACTGTGCTTTGAGCCTTCAACCAGAGTTGGAGTACCTGCTGATCTCACCCTACTTCACTTGAGTGAAACAGATCTCAGCCTTGGATACTTCAATGGCCCCTCTTCTCAGTCTACTACCTAGATAGCTGTACTTGGATCTGTGATGCTGTGTGCTTTGTTTTATGCTTGCATTGAGTTTACGGCCTGATGCTTTTCCTTGCTGGAAGCTGTGAACTCGCCCAGGTTTTGCAAGCAGAATGGACATGGATCTGTGATGCTGTGTTGCTGTGTGTATTGATCTTATGCTTGCACTGTGATTAGGGCCTGATGCTTCATGTCTAATTGCTGGAAGCTATGAACTCGCCCAGGTTTTTTTGCAAGTGGAATGGAATGAACCTTGCCTTGTCAGTGCACTTATTATTGCTGGTGTACACTTGTCTCAGTTTTTATTTGATGTAACGGAGTTGTTTGTCTTGTGTTAAGACAACCTCCTATTCTTGGTTTTTGGTTAGATTGCATTTCCTTGTGTTAGTGTTTTGGCTTTGTTGTATTACAATTGAGTTGTAATTTCTTTTGTAGATAGTTGTAACTTATGCAAGTAACCACGTTGTGGTTAAGCTGTTGACACTTTGTATTTGTATTCGTTTGATTTGGGTAATAATAATTTACATGTTACCCGTAAAATTTTATATTTTTATTTATTCAAATAGTTGCATCTGCCGATTCTCCCTCTCGGTTATACGGTTATACCACAATCCACATACAGCCTGGAATACTAATCGGCTCTTCAACCTAATTGTTCCCTCTCCATCGGCGGACCCTCCCTCTCGCAATTGCTCCGCCAATCGTTGCGGTCTTCTCTCTTCCGTCAATCATCCTCCGACCTCCGGTGGCCTTGGCTCAATGGTGAGAAGAAACAAGCAGAGTAGTGGAATTCCTAACCCTAATTCAGCATCTTCAGTTGGGTTATATTTTAACTCTCTTTTAAAATATAAAATCATTGTTTTCTATTTATGAAGTATGTTTTAATCTGTATTTTTTGCTATTTACGGAGTATTATGTTTCGATTTTGGAATCAGAATAAACCTGATATGAATTTAGTAAACTGCCACACTGCCAGCTTGTTCCTATTCGCTTTTACCTCCTTTGAGTATGCATATTCTCATAATAAATTATTAAATTGCAACAATTAGAATTTAGAAACCTCTCCATCACAGAAGTTAAATTTTAGCCGCATGGTTATTTTTAAAGCTGGCATATGAAAGGGTTATTTTGAGAAATACTCAAAACCTGACTGCCACAATCCTGACTAGAATATTTACTCACAGAAGCTTTCAACAATTTGCTGATTTGGAAATTTTTGCTATAAACTTGTCTATTTGCTATAAACCTGGTCCTATTTGCTATAAAATTGTCTATTTGCAGATTTGGAAATCCCCCCCCCCCCCCCCCAAGCAAGCAGTATATATATATTATATATTCTTGGGTGTTCACATCAACAATACTATCCAAGTTTTGACTTTTGACCAATTGAATACATGTCCTCCATTTTCTTGTGAGGGGATTTGATCCCCAAAATTTAAAGTCTATAGATATTGATTAAAATATAGCACTCTTTTATTTTTTGTGTTAACTACATTATAAATTTTAGGAGTTTCATTTTTTATTTTATCATACAGGAACTACCACTAGAAATGAAGAGTCATCTCAAAGTCGGAAAAGAAAATGGGCTTCACCAATTTGGGACGAGTATGATGTGTTTGATGGAGATCAATTTCCAGATGGTCAAGATAGAGCTCTTTGCAAGTACTGTAAGGGAAGACCAACTTTTGCGAATTCTAAGAATGGTACAACTAATTTTAAACGCCATACTGAAAATTGTCATGCCCGTGTTGCTAATGATGTTGGTCAATTACTATTAAACAAAAACGCTAACTTGGCTAAAAAATTAGACCAAGGCACATACAGAGAGTTGGTTGCACTAAGTATTATAAGACATGGTTATAGCTTTAGTTTTGCAGAACATCAAGGGAATAGGGCTATACATGTGTATTTGAATGAAGAGTGCAAACCTATCTGTAGAAATACAGCTAAGAATTATTGTCTGAAGATTCATGAAAGAGAAAGATTGAAGCTTAAAAAAGTCTTGAGTGAAATTGATGGTAAAATATGCTTCACTTTAGATATGTGGTCATCAATAGTTGGACAAGGTTATCTTAGCTTGACTGCTCACTTTATTGATGAAAATTGGAATTTGCAAAACAAGATTCTTAGCTTTTGTCATGTGCCACCTCCACACAATGCTGATGTCATTCATGAAAAGATTTTAAGTCTTCTTAAGACTTGGGGAATTCATAAGAAAGTCTTTTCCATGACGCTAGATAATGCGAAGTACAATGACAACATGCAGGGTCTTTTATCAGATAGTCTCTCTATTTATTCTCGTTTGCCTACTAATGGTGACTATTTTCATGTTCGTTGTGCTGCACATATAATGAATTTGATTGTTAAAGAGGGTCTTACTGTGATTGATACTTCCATGCGTACACTTAGAGACTGTATAAAATATGTCACTGCTTCTGAGGGTCGAGAGTTGAAATTTGAGGATTGTGCTAATAGTCTTGGCGTGGATACTTCAAGAAGTTTGTGGTTAGATTGTCCTACTAGGTGGAATTCAATTTTTAAGATGCTTGATAGAGCACTCCCATATCGTTATGTTTTTTCTTGTGTGAAAAAGATGGATCGTGATGCCCCACCAGTTCCAAGCGATGAAGAATGGGTAAGAATTGAAAGGATCCATGAACTTTTGAAGCCATTTGATGAAATTACTACACAATTTTCTGGGCGACACTATCCTACAGCAAATATGTATTTATTAAATGTGTGGAGAATCCAATGTTTCTTAAAGAGACATTCTGATGATATAATAGAGACAAATATGTGCATAAGAGAGATGGCAAAGAGGATGAAAGTGAAGTTCGACAAGTATTGGGAATCTTATAGCATGATACTTTCATTTGCAGCAATTTTGGATCCTCGATATAAACTTCAATTTGTGAGATTTTGTTTTACAACCCTAGATCCTACAACTGCAGAAGCGAAGGTAGAAAATGTGAAGGACGAACTTTTTAAATTATTTGGTGAGTATTCAACAGTTGATCCTACTACCGATGTGAATTCAAATGTAAGGAATACATCAACAGACCTAGAGGTATGTTTATAATTTCATTTTACATTTATTTATAATGTTTAAAATATATATAATGTTTCAGTTTTTGCTATTCATTTCTCTTTTGAAATTTGTATGTAGGCTTTTTTAGCATTTGATGGAGTGACAACTTCTAGGTTTAAATCCCTATTGGATGTATATTTGGAAGAACTCAAGGTGGATCCTAATGAAAATTTAGATGTTCTTGAATGGTGGAAGGACAATGCTAAAAGATTTTCTGATGTTGCAAAAATGGCAAAAGATATATTAAGCATACCAATCACCACAGTTGCATCTGAATCTGCTTTCAGTTTAGGTGGTAGAATTTTAACAAAGTGGAGAGCATCACTTAAGTCAGAGAATGCAAAAGCTTTGATTACCACTCGTAGTTGGATATTTGGTTATGATGTTGATGAAGGTAATTTAATATATACGCCTAAATTTATTTTTCACTTACAAATTAACTCTTCATATATGTGTTATTGTATTAATATGTAGATGAACGTGACAAACTTGAAGAAGGCATTGAGTTGGATTTCAGGCGTTCTACTCGCGAAAAGCATCAAATTGATATGGGGAATGACTTCACTTGAGAATGAACTTCTAATCATTTTGTTTAAACTCTAAATTATTTGGTATTTTGATTAGTGTGCTTGGATGGTTCATTTGGGACATGATGATGTTTAGAACTTTTTGCTATGTTTACTTTTTTGTTGTTTTGAATGATTTTTTTTTCTATTTTGAACAATGCATTGATCACTTCATCTCCAAATGGAAAATTTACAATTTTTAAATACGCTCCTTAACCCATTGGGTCAACCTGAACACGATAGGTTTGGGTCATGAACAAGCATCCTTATACCCGAACCCGAAGTGACCCGAACCCGAATTAACCCGAACCCGATATGACCGAACCCGAACCCGACCTGACCGACCGTTTTGCCAGGTCTAGTTAGAGAGACTTAAAAGTTCTTATTTTTGATACTGCCCAGGAGGTGTTTTTATTATGTTTCTAAGAAATTGCCATCTAGACTCTGAGGTTGTTCTTTCTATTGTTATTCACTTATACAATACTCATATTCGTGTCAACAGTTCCATCCCTAAATGTGGTTTAGTTACATCATACCTCATGAATCAGCATAAAAAGCAATAAAGATAGCATACCTGCAAACAACACTCCCCAAATAGTTTTGATGTAGGATGATAGCCTTGAACCGCGGTTGTTATCCGAGCTGCTAGCCCGTCAAGAACCTGGCAAGAAAAATCACTTTCCATCTCAGCTGAATATAATGTGAGTAACAGTGATATTACTTCAACAAAGAGGGCGGAGAGACAAACTAACCTTTGGGAGGTTTTGTTTAACAAATATTGCACCATGTGGAGATTTCTTAGTATATTTTAGGCGGAGATTGAGCCTAAGATCATCTTTAGGAGTTACTTGTCAAGAGGTGATACATGAGAGTAGAAGGCTATATAAGATCTGAGATAAAATTACTCCGTGTAATGTATTGTAATGTAGTCAATAACATTAAAAAAATAGGAAGTTAGAAACTACGCAAGAGGATTCTAATGGGCCTTAGAATAAAGTCCAGGTGAGGCCGTGAGGGATATAAGAGTTGAGACGATGGGGTGGGCGATTGCCTCACCAGCTTTCTTGATGGCGGCATAGAAGCTCATCGGCAAATCTGTTCGGTCCGATTCAGAAAAGGGAACTTTGGAGTTCAAGACGTAGACGGAGCTTGAAGATGCACAGACAATGGCGAGTTGTGGGTTCCCGCTCTTGCAGACTTGGAGAAGACTGACTATACAAAGTCACAAACAAAAAATTCGAGAAGACTATACAAAGTCTTCTCTTCAGACTTCGAGAAGACAATGGCGAGTTGTGGGTTCCCGCTCTTGCAGACTTCGAGAAGACTATACAAAGTCACAAACAAAAAATTCATATTATCAAACTGAACAAATTTATAAGGAGTATAAATTGCCACTTTCGGGAAGGATTGAGACTCAGCCTCCAAAATTATCAATTAAACAATAAGACATAAAAATTTTCCTGAAGCATTAAACATAACATATAAAAAACAATCAAAGAGTGCATTATAATTAAAATATAAACGAAATCAATCATTTAACAGGATTAAATATAATTTCATCTTTGTTCAAGCCCTAAAACATACACAATACAACTAGAACTGGATAATAAACAGGAAATCAACACAAAAAGTAAGAGGAAACTAAAGAAAAAAATATGGAGTTAAAGAGTATATCCTTGAAAACACTAATGGTTGGACTCTGAATTTGGCTTCGTTTCTGTACCATCTCGTCAGAAGTTTCATCTGAAAAGTAATAAAAAAAAAATTGACGAATATCAAATCAGTAATGAATTGAGAAATAAATAAAGCACTGGACAATGGGCACTGGGCAATGAATGTTTTAACTCGCCTTTTGTTAGTAACACACCTTTTGTTTTTCAAAACCCACAAACCCTTGTGCACTGGGCAATGGATGTTTTAACACTGTCATGGCTTCTACCACGCCCACTAGGACCTGCCAAATTACAGCTCATATCATTTAGCCACCAAAATCTTTTAAACATTGAACAAAGCTCACTCTGTATGGAATAACTTTTGCAAGAGGAACTTTATAAAACCTACCGCTGCAGTTTTTTTCTTTTTTTAATATATGCCTGAGTCGAAGAGATCTTCATATCCCTTTTAGAGAAGTATTAAAATAATAAATATAAATAAACAAATCATTCCAATTAATGATAATCCCAGGCCTAATAGCATTACAATTCTAGGCTTAGTGAATTTTTTCATATTTAAGACGTGTGTTCAAATTCCAAATGTGTATCTAGGAGCTTTGAGACTATTGATTTTACACTTTGTCACATGTCGTCCTGATCTGCTCGATATTCTAGTTTGGGTGTTGAGGAATACGCAAGGAACTAATACCAACTAAACTGGGGAAGTCCATTTCACTTAAAAAGCTAGGATGGTCAAACGTATGTGGAAGGAAAATATTATCTCAGCAATAGAAACTCCATATCACATGACGCTTGGGAGGCTCACATCCAAAGAATATAACTCCCACCCCGATAGATAAACACCTATATAACAAACTGTGGTAGCGACTCAAACAATTGAGATCACATAATGAAATTAGTTTATTCGCTTCTCCGTATAAATTAGTACTCTTATATGAATGCAGTAAAGTTTGAGAGACTTAAAAGTTCTTATTTTTAATACTGCCCATGAGGTGTTTTTATTATGTTTCTAAGAAATCGCCATCTAGACTCTCAGGTTGTTCTTACTATTGTTATTCACTTATACAATACTCATATTCGTGTCACCGGTTCCATCCCTAAATGTGGTTTAGTTACATCATACCTCATGAATCGGCATAAAAAGCAATAAAGATAGCATACCTGCAAACAACACTCCCCAAATAGTTTTGATGTAGGATGATGGCCTTGAACCGCGGTTGTTATCCGAGCTGCTAGCCCGTAAAGAACCTGGCAAGAAACATCACCCTCCATCTCAGCTGAATATAATGTGAGTAACAGAGATATTACTTCAACAAAGAGGGCGGAGAGACAAACTAACCTTTGGGAGGTTTTGTTTAACAAATATTGCACCATGTGGAGATTTCTTAGTATATTCTAGGCGGAGATTGAGCCTAAGATCATCTTTAGGAGTTACTTGTCAAGAGGTGATACATGAGAGTAGAAGGCTATATAAAATCTGAGATAAAATTACTCCGTATAATGTATTGTAATGTAGTCAATAACATTAAAAAAATAGGAAGTTAGAAACTACACAAGAGGATTCTAATTTCAAAAGGGCCTTAGAATTAAATGCCTAGAAACTTAATGAATTAAACACAAAAAATATTATTAGTAAAAGCCACTACCTTATTCATTGTCCATACCTCGGATGGCCTTTGCTGGCTATGGATGGATCAAGCTTCCTAGTTCCATTTCTTCTTTCATCTGAAAAGTAATAAAAAACAAATTAAAGAATATCAAATCAGTAATGAATTGAGAAATAAATAAAGCACTGGACAATGGGCACTGGGCAATGAATGTTTTAACTCGCCTTTTGTTCGTAACACACCTTTTGTTTTTCAAAACCCACAAACCCTTGTGCACTGGGCAATGGATGTTTTAACACTGTCATGGCTTCAACCACGCCCACTGGGACCTGCCAAATTACAGCTCATATCATTTAGCCACAAAAATCTTTTAAAAATTGAACAAAGCTCACTCTGTATGGAATAACTTTTGCAAGAGGAACTTTATAAAACCTACCGCTGCAGTTTTTTTCTTTTTTTAATATATGCCTGAGTCGAAGAGATCTTCATCTCCCTTTTAGAGAAGTATTAAAATAATAAATATAAATAAACAAATCATTCCAATTAATGATAATCCCAGGCCTAATAGCATTACAATTCTAGGCTTAGTGAATTTTTTCATTTGTAAGACGTGTGTTCAAACTCCAAATGTGTATCTAGGAGCTTTGAGACTATCGATTTTACACTTTGTCACATGTCGTCCTGATCTGCTCAATATTCTAGTTTGGGTGTTGAGGAGTATGCAAGGAACTAATACATACTAAACTGGGGAAGTCCATTTCACTTCAAAAGCTAGGCTGGTCAAACGTATGTGGAAGGAAAATAATAACTCAGCAATAGAAACTCCATATCACATGACGCTTGATATGCTCACATCCAAAGAATATAACTGCCACCCCGATAGATGAACAACTATATAACAAACTATGGTAGCGACTCAAACAATTGAGATCACATAATGAAATTAGTTTATTTGCTTCTCCGTATAAATTAGTACTCTTATATGAATGCAGTAAAGTTTGAGAGACTTAAAAGTTCTTATTTTTAATGCTGCCCATGTGGTGTTTTTATTATGTTTCTAAGAAATCGCCATCTAGACTCTCAGGTTGTTCTTTCTATTGTTATTCACTTATACAATACTCATATTCGTGTCACCGGTTCCATCCCTAAATGTGGTTTAAATACTTCATACCTCATGAATCAGCATAAAAAGCAATAAAGATAGCATACCTGCAAACAACACTCCCCAAATAGTTTTGATGTAGGATGATAGCCTTGAACCGCGGTTGTTATCCGAGCTGCTAGCCCGTCAAGAACCTGGCAAGAAACATCACTCTCCATCTCAGCTGAATATAATGTGAGTAACAGAGATATTACTTCAACAAAGAGGGCGGAGAGACCAACTAACCNTTTTGTGGCAAAGTTTTAGTAGAAAAAATAATATTTGCCACAATATATAAAGATTGGACAAATATTTGTAGCAAATAAGATTTTGCCACAAAATATTAGACATATTGTGGCAATTGTGTAAAATTGCTACTATATCTAAATAATTGGACTCGAAGTTTTACCCATTTTTTAGTAGGCCCATAATCAAAATACGGAGTAAATGCACAATGAGAGGAAAATCATTCACAATTCACTAAATCTATGCGATCGTGACTTTCTCTGAACCAGAAAGTTACTCCGGGGAAGCAGAGTCCGACGAAGGTGAGACAACGAAAGGGCTAGTTTTTGGAGGGTGCGGAAGGGTGTGCCAGCAACCATGGGAGGAGTGAAGACCTTATGGTTGACGCTACGAGCTGGGCGGCAGAGAACGACGAATGATGGAAATTTCAGCATCAAATCAAAGAACTTTGAGCCTCGAATAGTTTTTTTGCTGGTATAAACTCTAAATCTGAGTTGTTACTCAATTCCTTCCTAGTTTATGTCCAATTTTATATCTATTATCTATGTTAGTACTATTGTGTGTATGTGTTACAGTCTGGATGGATTCATATTAGGTTTTGATTGGGTTAAAATTTGGATTGATTTTTATTTTTTTCTCAATAAAGATCTGAGTTTGGCTTTAGAATGTGATTAAAAGTCGGTTGGGTTCGGTTTTTGAGGAATTCTTTTGTTTGTTGTGTTGTCATGTGGTATCCAAATATTTTTAGATTTCTATTTGAAGTCAATGAGGGGGATGCAGAGAAGCTACTGGCAACCCAAGTGAGGATGGGGAAGATTAGACAAGATATACAAATGGCAATGGGGCAAAGGGCACGATTACTATAAATGCTTTAATTTTAATCTTTAGGAGTTACTTGTCAAGAGGTGATACATGAGAGTAGAAGGCTATATAAAACCTGAGATAAAATTACTTCGTATAATGTATTGTAATGTAGTCAACAACATTAAAAAAATAGGAAGTGATAAACTACGCAAGAGGATTCTAATGTCAAATGGGCCTTAAAATTAAATGCTTAGAAACTTAATGAATTAAACACAAAAAATATTATTAGTAAAAGCCACTACCTTATTCATTGTCCATACCTCGGATGGACTTTGCTGGCTATGGATGGATCAAGCTTCCTAGTTCCATTTCTTCTTTCATCTGAAAAGTAATAAAAAACAAATTAAAGAATATCAAATCAGCAATGAGTTGAGAAAAAAAAAGCACTGGACAATGAATGTTTTAACACGCCTTTTGTTAGTAACACACCTTTTCTTTTTCAAAACCCACAAACCCTTATGCACTGGGCAATGGATGTTTTAACACTGTCATGGCTTCAACCACACCCACTGGGACCTGCCAAATTACAGCTCATATCATTTATCCACCAAAATCTATTATTCCTTGAACAAAGCTCACTGTGTATGGAATAACTTTTGCAACAGGAACCTTATAAAACCTACCGCTGCAGTTTTTTTCCTTTTTTAATATATACCTGAGTCGAAGAGATCTTCATCTCCCTTTTAGAGAATTATTAAAATAATAAATATAAATAAACAAATCATTCCAATTAATCATAATCCCAGGCCTAATAGCATTACAATTCTAGGCTTTGTGAATTTTTTCATTTGTAAGACGTCTGTTCAAACTCCAAATGTGTATCTAGGAGCTTTGAGACTATCGATTTTACACTTTGTCACATGTCGTCCTGATCTGCTCGATATTCTAGTTTGAGTGTTGAGGAGTAGGCAAGGAACTAATACCGACTAAACTGGGGAAGTCCATTTCACCTAAAAAGCTAGGATGGTCAAACGTATGTGGAAGGAAAATATTATCTCAGCAATAGAAACTACATATCACATGACGCTAGGGATGCTCACATCCAAAGAATATAACTCCCACCCCGATAGATGAACAACTATATAACAAACTGTGGTAGCGACTCAAACAATTGAGATCACATAATGAAATTAGTTTATTCGCTTCTCCGTATAAATTAGTACTCTTATATGAATGCAGTAAAGTTTGAGAGACTTAAAAGTTCTTATTTTTAATGCTGCCCATGAGGTGTTTTTATTATGTTTCTAAGAAATCGTCATCTAGACTCTTAGGTTGTTCTTTCTATTGTCATTCACTTATACAATACTCATATTCGTGTCACCGGTTCCATCCCTAAATGTGGTTTAGTTACATCATACCTCATGAATCAGCATAAAAAGCAATAAAGATAGCATACCTGCAAACAACACTCCCCAAATAGTTTTGATGTAGGATGATAGCCTTGAACCGCGGTTGTTATCCGACCTGCTAGGCCGTCAAGAACCTGGCAAGAAACATCACTCTCCATCTCAGCTGAATATAATGTGAGTAACAGAGATATTACTTCAACAAAGAGGGCGGAGAGACCAACTAACCTTTGGGAGGTTTTGTTTAACAAATATTGCACCATGTGGAGATTTCTTAGTATATTCTAGGCGGAGATTGAGCCTAAGATCATCTTTAGGAGTTACTTGTCAAGAGGTGATACATGAGAGTAGAAGGCTATATAAAATCTGAGATAAAATTACTCCGTATAATGTATTGTAATGTAGTCACCACTACAAAAAATATGACTTTTTGTGGCAAAGTTTTAGTAGCAAAAATAATATTTGCCACAATATATAAAGATTGGACAAATATTTGTAGCAAATAAGATTTTGCCACAAAATATTAGACATATTGTGGCAATTGTGTAAAATTGCTACTATATCTAAATAATTGGACTCGAAGTTTTACCCATTTTTTAGTAGGCCCATAATCAAAATACGGAGTAAATGCACAATGAGAGGAAAATCATTCACAATTCACTAAANTGTAGTCACCACTACAAAAAATATGACTTTTTGTGGCAAAGTTTTAGTAGCAAAAATAATATTTGCCACAATATATAAAGATTGGACAAATATTTGTAGCAAATAAGATTTTGCCACAAAATATTAGACATATTGTGGCAATTGTGTAAAATTGCTACTATATCTAAATAATTGGACTCGAAGTTTTACCCATTTTTTAGTAGGCCCATAATCAAAATACGGAGTAAATGCACAATGAGAGGAAAATCATTCACAATTCACTAAACCTATGCGATCGTGACTTTCTCTGAACCAGAAAGTTACTCCGGGGAAGCAGAGTCCGACGAAGGTGAGACAACGAAAGGGCTAGTTTTTGGAGGGTGCGGAAGGGTGTGCCAGCAACCATGGGAGGAGTGAAGACCTTATGGTTGACGCTACGAGCTGGGCGGCAGAGAACGACGAATGATGGAAATTTCAGCATCAAATCAAAGAACTTTGATCCTTGAATAGTTTTTTTGCTGGTATAAACTCTAAATCAGAGTTGTTACTCAATTTTTGAGGAATTCTTTTGTTTGTTGTGTTGTCATGTGGTATCCAAATATTTTTAGATTTCTATTTGAAGTCAATGAGGGGGATGCAGAGAAGCTATTGGCAACCCAAGTGAGGATGGGGAAGATTAGACAAGATATACAAATGGCAATGGGGCAAAGGGAACGATTACTATAAATGCTTTAATTTTAATCTTTAGGAGTTACTTGTCAAGAGGTGATACATGAGAGTAGAAGGCTATATAAAATCTAAGATAAAATTACTTCGTATAATGTATTGTAATGTAGTCAATAACATTAAAAAAATAGGAAGTTAGAAACTACACAAGAGGATTCTAATTTCAAATGGGCCTTAGAATTAAATGCCTAGAAACTTAATGAATTGAACACAAAAAATATTATTAGTAAAAGCCACTACCTTATTCATTGTCCATACCTCGGATGGCCTTTGCTGGCTATGGATGGATCAAGCTTCCTAGTTCCATTTCTTCTTTCATCTGAAAAGTAATAAAAAACAAATTAAAGAATATCAAATCAGTAATGAGTTGAGAAAAAAAAGCACTAGACAATGGGCACTGGGCAATGAATGTTTTAACACGCCTTTTGTTTGTAACACACCTTTTGTTTTTCAAAACCCACAAACCCTTATGCACTGGGCAATGGATGTTTTAACACTGTCATGGCTTCAACCACGCCCACTGGGACCTGCCAAATTACAGCTCATATCATTTAGCCACAAAAATCTATTAAACCTTGAACAAAGCTCACTGTGTATGTTATAACTTTTGCAACAGGAACCTTATAAAACCTACCGCTGCAGTTTTTTTCCTTTTTTTAATATATGCCTGAGTCGAAGAGATCATCATCTCCCTTTTAGAGAAGTATTAAAATAATAAATATAAATAAACAAATCATTCCAATTAATGATAATCCCAGGCCTAATAGCATTACAATTCTAGGCTTAGTGAATTTTTTCATTTGTAAGACGTCTGTTCAAACTCCAAATGTGTATCTAGGAGCTTTGAGACTATCGATTTTACACTTTGTCACATGTCGTCCTGATCTGCTCGATATTCTAGTTTGGGTCTTGAGGAATACACAAGGAACTAATACCGACTAAACTGGGGAAGTCCATTTCACTTCAAAAGCTAGGCTGGTCAAACGTATGTGGAAGGAAAATAATAACTCAGCAATAGAAACTCCATATCACATGACGCTTGGGATGCTCACATCCAAAGAATATAACTGCCACCCCGATAGATGAACAACTATATAACAAACTGTGGTAGCGACTCAAACAATTGAGATCACATAATGAAATTAGTTTATTCGCTTCTTCGTATAAATTAGTACTCTTATATGAACGCAGTAAAGTATGAGAGACTTAAAAGTTCTTATTTTTAATGCTGCCCATGTGGTGTTTTTATTATGTTTCTAAGAAATCGCCATCTAGACTCTCAGGTTGTTCTTTCTATTGTTCTTTTAGTAATTGTACTCCTTATAATATAATTTGAATTTTGAATTAATATATAATACTTTGTCTACTTGCACCATTGAATTGCAAAAAGCGAATATGGTATATGTTGCATTATTTTATCTTATTAAATTCCTAGTGAAATGTGGTAGCGTACTAGGACAGTGATTTTATGGAACTGTATATAATGTCGCAGTGTAGATATATTGTGGCAGTGTATATATTGTGGCAATGGCAGTGTATATATAGTGGCAGTGTATTTCAGACATTGAATTTTTGGAAGTACATATTGTGGCAGTGTAGATAGTATAAATTGCAGTGTATAATTACCATAAAATATAAAATGTCACGGCTTAAAATGAATTCTGCTCTTTTTTTGGCAGTGCTGTATCTGTTAGGACACTAAATTCAATCTCAAACATATTGTGGCAGTGAAGAGCAGAGAATTTCATACTTATTTATAATGTGGCAGTAAAGAGTATACATTGCAGTGTATATTGAACTTAAGGATTTAAATTTCACATTCTAAACCAAATTGGGGTCTGCCAACTTCTATCAACAATTCTTGGCAGTGTCCTACGACCACGTTTGGTTAGTGTCTTTTCGTCAAATGTGATTTATATATAAAAAATCTCACTATCAAAAAATATTCATTGAGTTCTATAAATAGTGGATATAAAACAATCACCAATATCACTAGTCCTCATATAACTTTATCAAACAAAGTGTGTAGTGTAATCCTAAAAAAAATTTGGAAGTGTGGAATGGTCGTGATCTAGTATATTTTTTGGCAGTGTGTTATGTCCAATATTTTGGTTAGTGTGTTATGAAATGTTGCAATGTATGCTCCGATCCATACAAACTTTTTAAAGTGACAACATAATACTTTCGATTATCCATATCTTTTCAGTACCACATAAATCAAATTCAATATATGTCTTGAAAGCATATTCTAACTTCATACAAAATCATGCAAGACCCAAAAAACCAAATCATTGATAACCACGTGTAAAAAACTTTCCACTAATCCACTTTTCAAATTACTTATAAATTAAATGCCCATAAATTATTGCTAAAAAAAAAATTTCATGAATACCACAAAAAAATTTAAACAAACAAACACCAAATAAACAATTGTCATACGAACATTAAATTACCCAAGTTAAAAAAAAATTCATTGCTTTCTGGATTCTTCCTTTCTTTTATAGCTATAAGCTAAAAGTTCTATTGTCATTTTAACCCGGTAAGCTTCCATGTCACATGACTGCACTTCATCTATGCCTAAATCCATCATTAGAAACTCTGCGAATTTCACAACAAACATACCACAATTACACCTGCATTTGTATACATATTTCAAAGTCGGTAAACATTGGGTACTATTTACATTTTCAACAAAGGTAAGGTCACTCTCACTAAATCATAATACTTAACTACCACATACTTGTCGCTTTGTTGAGGACACCCATCAATTAGACCATCAAGGTAAGCACACTGCCAACAACAATTTAAACACACCGCCAACAACAATTTAAACACACTGCGAACAGTTCAAAAAAACCCCACTGCCTCAGTCAAAAACACAAAACCCAATAAAACCCACAGCCAAAAAAAGCTCAAACCCCAAAAAAACCAAATACGTTTACCCAAAAAACACACTGACAACAAATGTTTCTTCGGAATCCAAAAAACCCAAAAAAAAACTCTTTTGTACCTCCGAATCCAAAAAAACCCAAAAAAAACTTTGTCATTTTGATCACTTTCGTAACTTGGAATGCAAAAAACTACTGTTTTCTTTTAGGGGAGAATACTTTATTTCTAGACCCGTTATGAAACGGTTAACAACAACACCGTCCAAAAAAACACACATCCAAAAACACAAAAAAACAATCACGTTTCAGTGGAGAACCAAAAACCCAAAAAATACTCTGCCAAAAAATAAAAAACCCAAAAAATATCAATTACGTCTAACATTCACACAAAAAACCGTTAAAAACAACACTGCCCAAAAAACACACAGCCACAAACACAAAAACCCAAAAAAATCAATTATGTTTCAGTGAAGAACAAATAACCCAAAAAACACACTGCCAAATAACGAAAATCCAAAAAACAATCAATTACATCTAGCATTCACAAAAAAACCTCAAGGATTTCAACAAAGCCAAAAAAATCATTACGTTGATCAAATAATTACTACCAACCTTAAAAAAGCACACTGCATAGAACCTAAGGGAAACACATAAATTTTTGCAGTGAACCTTCAAAAAAACACACTGCCAACCTAAGGGAATCAAAAAAACTTTTTCTAAAACAACCAAAATTTCATTGCAGTGGCATGATTTGAATCGCCTATAACCACAAAAAGTTACGAGCAATCAATTCACAACAAAAACTTATTTGGCTGATTAAGTTACTATGATGCCAAAACTATTGCTCACCACAAATTTTATTGTCCCTTATGCAGTGGGTAATGTGTGCCGAGGCTATTCAATTCAAAACTTTGTATGATTAAATTTGTTGGAAGTGAAATCATTTCCAAAACGAAGCATACATGCATCTTCTCCAATCTTTTGCTTAGAGGAATCTCGTCGAGCGCATCATCGCTTGCCATTGAAATCCTGCGTCTCCTTCCCGAAGGTGCTGCGTTCGGCCGTGTGACTTTAGAGGAATCATCCGAGGAATATTGTGTGAAGCTTCTGCATTCGGCTGCTGCTTTTGGCCGCCAGGTACTTTTTCTTAACCTAATTCAGTATAATTCTAATTTTGGGAGTTTATTTAAGGACAAAAACGGATCGGAAATTCATCCCATAAACTATATATTAGCATTGCTATTTTGAGTATTATAAGGCTATTAAAGTGTTATTTTCTTATTTCTTCCTAAAATATTTGTACCTATCGTTTTGAATATAAAATATTTTGATAAAAATTATTGTCTAGCTAACCATGTGACAACAAATATTCTTGTTATTAAAAAACACTATTAATGAATTTTTGTAACAAAATTATTAAATTTTGATTTCATAGAGTTTGAACAAAATTATTTTGACAAACCATTTAATCAAAATTTGTCTATGACTTAACCACAAATAGTGGGTTTCGGCCTTATACTTGATCACATCCCAATTAGGTGTGACAATATGAGTGCTATTTTAGAAGCACTGGTTGCGCGTTTAGAAGCTATTCGTTTATTGTTTGCATTTGCACCTACGATGGATTTTAAACTCTATCAAGTTGATGTTAAAAGTGCCTTCCTTAATGGTATCATTCAAGAGAAATTGTATGTCGAACAACCCCCCCGAGTTTCGAAGACTAGGAGTTTCCCAAACATGTCTTCAAACTCAAAAAGGCGCTTTACGGTATCAAGCAAGCACCCCGTGCTTGGTATGAACGGTTAAGCAAACTTCTTTTGGACCATTATTTTAAACGGGGTCAAGTCGACACTACTCTTTTCATCAAGAAAGATAACCAAGACATCCTTTTGGTTCAAGTTTACGTGGATGATATCATATTTGGTGCTACTAACGAAGTTTTGTGCAGGGATTTTTCAGATATGATGCAAAGCGAATATGAGATGTATATGATGGGAGTATTGAAATTCTTCCTTGGGCTGCAAACTAGACAATGCAAAAAAGGAACATTCGTGTTTCAAACGAAATATTGCAGGGAATTGCTTAAGAGATTCGACGTTACCGAATACAAATCCATTGACACACCAATGAGTACCTCTTGCTATCTCGACAATGACGAAAAAGGTAAAGAGATAGACATCAAGCGCTACCGGGGTATGATCGGCTCTTTACTTTACCTTACTGCGAGTTAACGAGATATCATGTACTCTGTTTGTATATGTGCTCGGTAGTCCTAAAGAATCGCACTTTGTTGCGATCAAAAGGATAATGCGATATCTCGCGGGCACGTTGAACGTTGGTCTTTGGAATCCCAAAGGTTCGACATGTCATCTTGTTGGCTATTCTGACTCGGATTTTGCAGGATTTTGCAGGTTGCAAACTCGATATGA